CTGCAAAAATAACAATAATATAAATAATAATAATATGAATTATAATACATATATATATATATATATATATATATATATGTATGACAACCCGATTTTTGTTATGAATTTTCCATATTACTTACTTATTACTTTTCAATGCTTCTATAAAGACTATTTTTTACTAAAAATATTTTGCTATCTATAACTTCAAGTTAAAACCTTGTAAGTAGTAACTGAAATCTATATTTATTTTTCAATATATTTCATTGATTTCATTTTAAATTACGAAGTCTTTGCAAATGCCTACCATACTACATTCATATATTTGATTTTATGATGTAGTTTTAGTTGTATTGATACATCTTTTTTTATTAGTATATATTAATTTTATTTTCCAATTACTTTTTTCGCCTCATTATTCAGAACTTCTGACAGGGTAGTCGAACTGTTTGTTCTGGATTTTGCCTCCCTTCTCGTATGCCTCCTGGACCCCATGGTGCTGAACTGCGTTTCAATTACTATAATTTCCAATTATCATAACTCGAACTGAAAATTTGAAATAATGCGAAATTTTATTATTTTAAATTAATTTTAATAAATGTTTTAATCATATAACTAATGTTTTATAACAAAACAATGTAAGAGCAAAATTACATTAGAAGACTAATATCGGATAAATTTACAAATATATTAGAAAAATCTTATAACTTAAACGCATATAATTAAAAAATATATCCATATCAGGTTGTAATAAAGAAACTCAAATCCACCAAATATATTAACTAAATTATATCATAAGACAAATTAAATGACAATGCAATATTATATGTAGTATACAAATAAATTAAAATCAAATATATAATAATAATAATATAGACAAATATACATAAATAATTTTTCAAATAAAAACAATTTTGTAGCAGATATGTGACATTTGTCATTGGCATAAAATTGAAAATTTAAAAAAAATTGAAAAATCAAAATTAAATTACAAAAAATATTAGGTAATAATACAACATATGTTTAATTAATTCATTTTACTTACATTTTTATTGTTTCTTGCTCTTACTGAAGTTTATAAAAAAATAAAATTTAAAACATTTTTCACCAAAATTTTATATAGTGCATTTGTTATTGTGCTCGCAGCATACTACTATAATTTAAAATTTAAACAAGAAAAAAATTATAATCAAAGTGTTTAGTACGTCATGGAAACAACTGAATTTATAAAATCCAGTGAGCCAAATCTTTTTGGGAAAATTGTCAAACGACTTCAAAAAGTTATTAACTACGATTGCTAATTTACTTATGCACAAACATATGCCGAAATGAGTGAAGGCAAATATAATATACATAAGTAGTGTAAATATTTCGAAATTTTTAAATAAACTTAACATTTTTTGAAAAATTTTAATTTTCTTTAACGTTCCGTAGGGTAAGTATAGATAAGTTATAGTAGTGCTGAAATCAAAAATGAATTTTTTTGCATATTTTCACGTTTCACAAGCTTCTGAACATTTTGGCATACTTTAGAAAAAATGGATATATGTAAGTCAGTAGTATGTGTTTTGTACAGATACAGGTTTTCGTCGACGTTTTTGGGAGCATCTCTTAACCGATTTGAATGATCTTCATTCAGTAAATATTTGATTCCTGTTTATAAGGAGATGTACTGATAAGTTTTTCGGCAAAGACAGATTCAGCCGTTTCGGAAATCCTGAGCAAAAAGTGCAGAAAATAGGAATTCGGCCCTTGCGATGGCACATCCGATTAGATTGATTCAAAATGCATTCAATTTGCATTGACAGACGTGTGCTAGTTAGTTTTTGAGCAAACGGAGCATCCGATTCGAATGATTCAAAAAACATTTTGCTTGTGTTGACAGTATGAAGGAACGATTCTTTTTGGGAAAGCAAATGAAATTATTTTAAAATTAAAGAAAAACAAATTATAAAAAAATATATTGAATACCAAAAATGACTTGGATTTCAATTTTAATGTCAGCTAAATTTCTATTAACTTATATACTTCAAATAAATATTTTTAACCTTGCAATTCAATTTATTTTATTATTAAGAAAATTAGAATTAAGCAAATGGTCTTCAGTCAACTCTAACGTGTATAAATAAAGTTCATTTTTTTTAATAATCAAAGCTATTCAACAAAGAAAAAATCTTGAAGACTTTGAAGACCGCATTAGTTTCAAATTACGTCGTGCTGCGTATTATCTTACATAAATATTAATTTTTACAGACTATCTTAATTTATATCAAATAATTAAATTATTTAATATTTAAACCAATTTGGTCCTACGGTTTACAACTGTGAGGTTGCGGCTAGTAAATCATACATAGCAATACTGTAGAGATTTCAAAACAAAATTTTGAAACAGATCGTGAACGCTTCAAAATATATACCGAATTGGCTAATCCATCGAAACCTTAGTATTTTAACCGTTGAAGAAAAAATTAACCACTTCTGCTCTAAATACAAGACTCGGCTAAATCAACTTCCAAATCAACTGGCGTGTGACCTGCTCAACTTGAAAAAGAAGCTGTAATGAATTATTACATGAATTTACTTAAAATTAGATGCAATAAGAGCAGAAGGTGCTATCAAAAGATAGTTATATCCTTCACACGCCATCATATTGAATTGTCTACAATTATATCTGTATGTATCTTATTGTATTTTTTGCTATAAAAATAAAACAACTAATGGTGTATGGCATCGTTCTTTAAGGCAAATTGCTTGAACTTTTCGTGCCGTAACAATTTGAGGAATATTAAATGTTTTCAAATAGATTATTATAAAATCTGTAATATCGTCTAATATTTATAAGAATTAAATAAACTGAATTACAAAGTTAAACTTAAAATATATAAGTGAGCTTTGGAACTTTAACCAGAATTAGAATTGAAATCTGAATTATTTTCGATATACAAAAAAACTCCAATTTTTCAAAATCTAAATAACTTTTTTTTTCAACATTTAATTACGAAAAAACGATCCCGGCCGATCTCTCAATCAATTCAGAATGACTTGAAATTTGATCTCATTTGATTCAGAATGACTTGAAATGACAACAAAACGTGAAACTAGCACATGAAGTTTCTGGTTATAACTTTTTCTTCGGGAAGTTAATATCAAAAACTAGAAAAGTGCAAGAGATTAAAAAATGTCTTTGAATTTAGCTAATTTTAAAATTTTAAATGATTTAAAATTCAAATAATAAAATTCATAAAATGCATTTATCTTTCTTTAATTTATTCATTTATTTATTTTCAGCAAAACCCAGTTCTGAGAGCAGAGAGGTCTCAAACACATTTCAAAAACAAAGTGAAGAAGTCAATAGAACAAAAAGTCAACTCTACTATCCTGAAAAGTTCACAAAATTCAAATACTTGTTTTAGATATGAATGTTACTTAACGTTATCCATAACAAGTGAATAAAAATCATTAAAAACGAGGACAAAAAATTACCGATAGTTGAATAAACGCAAATGGAACTTGAGGACTTTTTGTGTACCTAAAAAGTGTTTGTGATAACAGTGTTGTGCAAAACTTTGCAATTATACTTGACCTCAAAGACTTGGTCTATAAATAAATCTTTAAAGCAATTGACATTCTACATAACTATTAAATTTAATTCCTGTAGTTCTCATTTTACTATATGTTTGGAATTTCAAGTAAATTCAAATGGAAATTTCCAACAAAATAGTTTCGATCGAAGAAGTTTTCTGGATCGATTAAAAAACTAAATCTATCATACAATGAAAATGAATTATTAGACCACGTTGGTCCTTGCAAGTTTCCATGTGTCGGTTAAAAGATTTAACTAATCAGAATGTCCTTGTGAATCTAACAGGATTCAACCATAAAAGTGGAGATGCCATTAAAAAGACATTATAAACATCCATCAAAGTTTCATTAGTGATGAACAATTTTCTTAAAAAGACAAACATTTGCTTGTGGTCAAATAATTTGCCTGATGTCTCGTAGTGATCGTTTTTTGAGCTATTTCTCAATCCGAGTTTATTTTATCGTTTTTGAGTGTTTGTGTAGTTTTATAAAGGCCTTTATAGTGTTCTAGTGCAGTGATAGTTTTTATTCCCGGTTCCTGGTGCCTGTTACCTGATCTCTTGTTCCTGATCAGCTCTCTTCTGGAAATCACGAGGTAATGCGCCGTTTTTTTTAGCACATATTAATGTTTCATAATATATTTAAAAACTGACATATTTTTCTCTATTCTTCAGACAACAAATTGGTAATCGGGTTGTTCCAGAAGAATCGGTGATTTTAAACGAAGGTTAGTGTATTTTTCTCCTAGGCATGATTTTAAGGGTACGGTCACACGTCTCGTTGTGGATTCACAAAAATAGATTTTTATCAAAATCAATCGATATTTCAAGCTATTTTAGATCATCTTCTTTATTTTTCGATGTTCATCGTTATTTTTCGAGTTCTGTTGACATTCTTATAATTTTATCGATTTTTAATCAAATATCATATTTTTTGACAAATAATTCTAATCTAGTATTTTTACTAATCGGGAAGTTATAACAACTCGTCAATAGGTATAATTTCCAAAACATATCAGTTACAAAAGTTTTTGTGAAAGCTCTTCGGAGACGAACCATTTATTTATTGATTAATTAGTCAATTTATTGGTAACTACGTAGAAATAAACTTACATTTTAGATGATATAAATTATCTTTTTAAAAGATATAATGATGAAATATAAATTATGCTAATTAATTGAAAAGGTATAAATTAAAACACATTAATAAAATGTTTTTGCATAGTTATCAATAAATTGTATTAATAATGAGTGTAAATCGATAACTTTGCCTTATAGATAGGTTGAACTATACACTTGGTTATATTTAGGAATTTTTGAATAATTATAAAATTAACCAATTATATAATCAATAATTATTTACAGTGACCGTATCCTTCATTAATCCACTAATTTCTTACAGCCTAATAAAAAATAGACTCCAAAATAAAAGTGAGTGTAGTAAGTAATAAAATTCGCGTAAATTAATCAATTCTAAAACATAAGTGCTAATTAAATCAGTTTTGCATAACTTCGCGTAAACTAAGTGTGGTGTGTGAAAAACTAGACTGTGCAATTTTGCGAAGAAATACTGACATCTATGCAGTCTGGGGTAAGTACAAGTTTATGTATTAGGTTTTATGTAGTTTTTGTCATTTTTTTCTACTGGCAATACTAAGTCATCAACGTGTGGGCTTTCTTTATTTTAATAAATTACAGAAGCGGATTTAGGGCGAGAATGTCGATATAAAATTTTGAACCCTTTAGGATCGTTCGGAAAAAATAGTAAGTTGATATCTGTAAAAAAGATGATTTACAAAATAAGTGAAATTGACAAATTTGTATCGATTTATTTTAAGTGGTACTTTCAAAACTTTTATAAGTTCTCAAATCAACGGTGAATTTAGGATTGTTAATAAAATATTTTTATAAACATTTTGAATATCGAGGATATGATATGCATATATGTCTCATAATTATTTTTGGCTACCAAATCCTCTGTTTTCGAAACCGCTAGACTTGCTCTTCTAAAAATATAATTAATATAATAGAAGTGAAATGCTCTCAAAAACGAAATTGCCATATTTCGCACGTTTTGCTCTGTATTTTCGGAACGGTTGGACCTACCTTTGCCAAAAATTAATCAGCACGTCGCCCCATCAATAATCAAAACAAAACAAAAAAATTGTATCCGCACACACACACATTATATACACTTTTTCTAATGTATGCCATAATGTTCAAAAACCTTTGAAAAGTAAAAAATACATATAGCTTTCATTTTCGATTTTTTGCGCTTACTTAATTTTTTTAATTCTACCACCTTTGGAATATTCGTAGGAATATCATTCATGATATTTATTTAGAATTTAGACTATAAACTTTATCGTCATTGTAGGTTTTAACGACGCAAAAAATAACATTGAATCAGCAACATTTCTTATTGATTCTTAACGAACGGTTTTTGAATTTTCAAAATCAGTTTGGACGTTTTTGAGAAAACGTTGAAGAAAGGTAAACTAGTGGTGCATGGCATCGTACCTTAAGGCAAACTGCTGTAACTTCCTGTACTGAGAAATAAAATTTTCAAACAAAACTTTAGCATTTTTTGAAAACTTCGAAAAAATTAGACTTATAAAAGTTTTGAAAGAAATTGAATTTTCTGAAAAATTTAATTTTTTTATATTTCAAAACTTTTTGAAAACTTTGAACTTTTATTCAGCGTGGCTGTGTTAAAGAAGAAATATCGAAGCGCATAAGCGCCGCGTCGCAGTAAATGCATAAACATTGGCACGAAACCGACAGAAATGTAAGCAATGCTTATTAATAAACATTTTATAAAATATCTGATAATTTGATGTACATACATCTAACCTTCATTTTTGACAGCCATCTGGGATAGTTTTTTACTTTTTTCATTGAATCTACCTACGAAACCGCTAGACCTGCCTGCCCAAAAATTGCGGATACAAATATTCGTCGACGATTTTGAACACACGGATCAATCGATTTGAATGATGAAAAAAAAATTTGATTTCTATTGATAAGGAGACGTCCTGATTAGTTTTTAGCAAAGGCAGGATATGAGGCAAAAAGTGCTAAAAAATGTAATACAGTTTTGGAGAGAACGCAGCATGAGATTTGTATTATTCACAAAACATTTTACTTGTATTGACAAAACGAAGTACTGATGACATTTTTTGAAAGGCATGTCCAGCGGTTTCGGAGATCCAATAAAAAAAGTAAAAAAAAAACCATTTGATGGACAAAATTGACCATTAAACATATGTGCATCAAATTATCAAATATTTTATAGATATTTTAATAATAACAGATTTTGTTTATATTTCGTTTTTATTTTGTTTCTACATAGCTAACGTATTGCGATTGCTTTGAAAAAATGTTCAAAATTTCCAAAATATTTCAAAGTATAAAAAAAATCTAATTTTTCAAAGGTCAATTTTTTCAAGCTCTAAAAAATTTAATCTTTTCCAAAAATTGTAATTTCAAGCAATTTGCCTTAAGGTACGATGCCACGCACCACTAGTCGTACATTACATTACATACATAATACTAAACTGTAGAAATAAAACATTTATGTATGTATATAGGAATAATCTGTTTGCAATATATATTTGAAAATTAATTTACATTTGATAATATGTTTTAACAATTTGATCTGAAATATTTTGTAAACTTAAGCAAATTCATTGCTGTTATGCTATTATATCACAAATTGGTCCCGATTTGTAATCCGGATAATAGGAAAGCCGTGTAACTGAAGATTGAATAGACGATTTTACTATATTATAAACCAATTTTCGTTGGACACAATAACTATTATTGGTTCTATCTATTCCAAAAAATGAGAATTCAAATACTTCATGATGGTGAAGCCTTTAAGGCGCACCATCCCGGTCACGCTCTCAAATTCTTCGTCACAGTCGATGTAGGCAGGGTCTTCCGGATCCTGGAGTTTTCTTTCCTTGATTTGAATCCATATTAATTTGACTACGTTGTACCGTGTCTCGGGTTCATTACTACCAATTAATTTGGCTAATTCGGGGGATAGTCTATACCTCTTATGAATCCCAGAATTTCTAGGTGCACGCTTCTGCAAAAATAACAATAATATAAATAATAATAATATGAATTATAATACATATATATATATATGTATGACAACCCGATTTTTGTTATGAATTTTTCATATTACTTATTTATTACTTTTCAATGCTTCTATAAACTATTTTTTTAAGTAGTAACTGAAATCTATATTTATTTTTCAATATATTCTTCATTGATTTCATTTTAAATTACGAAGTCTTTGTAAATGCCTACCATACTACATTCATATATTTAATTTTATGATTTAGTTTTAGTTGTATTGATACACCTTTTTTTATTAGTATATATTAATTTTATTTTCCAATTACTTTTTTCGCCTCATTAATCAGAACTTCTGACAGGGTAGTCGAACTGTTTGTTCTGGATTTTGCCTCCCTTCTCGTATGCCTCCTGGACCCCATGGTGCTGAACTGCGTTTCAATTACTATAATTTCCAATTATCATAACTCGAACTGAAAATTTGAAATAATGCAAAATTTTATTATTTTAAATTAATTTTAATAAATGTTTTAATCATATAACTAATGTTTTATAACAAAACAATGTAAGAGCAAAATTACATTAGAAGACTAATATCGGATAAATTTACAAATATATTAGATAAATCTTATAACTTAAACGCATATAAATAAAAAAAAATCCATATCAGGTTGTAATAAAGAAACTCAAATCCACCAAATATATTAACTAAATTATATCATAAGACAAATTAAATGACAATGCAATATTATATGTAGTATACAAATAAATTAAAATCAAATATATAATAATAATAATATAGACAAATATACATAAATAATTTTTCAAATAAAACAATTTTGTAGCAGATATGTGACATTTGTCATTGGCATAAAATTGAAAATTTAAAAAAAATTGAAAAATCAAAATTTTTTTTTTTTTTTTTTTGTTACAATTTATTTTTGTTTAAATTACAAAAAACATTAGGTAATAATACAACATATGTTTTAATAATTATTTTACTTACATTTTTATTGTTTCTTGCTCTTACTGAAGTTTATAAAAAAATAAAATTTAAAACATTTTTCACCAAAATTTTTTATAGTGCATTTTATGGTGCATTTGTGCTCGCAGCATACTACTATAATTTAAAATTTAAACAAGAAAAAAAATATAATCAAAGTGTTTAGTACGTCATGGAAACAACTGAATTTATGAAATCCAGTGAGCCAAATCTTTTTGGGAAAATTGTCAAACGAGTTCAAAAAGTTATTAACTACGATTGCTAATTTACTTATGCACAAACATATGCCGAAATGAGTGAAGGCAAATATAATATACATAAGTAGTGTAAATATTTCGAAATTTTTAAATGAACTTGACTTTTTTTGAAAAGTTTGAAATTTTTTAACGTTTCGTAGGGTAAGTTTAAAAAAGTTATAGTAGTCCTAAAATCGAAAATGAAAATTTTTGCATATTTTCACGTTTCACAAGCTCCTGAACATTTTGGCATACTTTAGGAAAAATAGATATATGTAAGTCAGTACTGTCAGTAGTATGTGTTTTGTGTAGATACAGGTTTTCGTCGACGTTTTCGGGAGCATACCTTAACCGATTTCAATGATATTCAAAAAATATTTGATTCCTATACATGAGGAGATGTACTGATTGGTTTTTCGGCAAAGACAGATTCAGCCCTTGCGATAGGGCATCCGATTCGTAATGCCTTCAATTCGTATTGGAAGACGAGCTAGTTATTTTTTCGGGGACACCCGTTTGGAAGTTACAGAGTGCTAAAAATTACCGTTTTTTGAGAAAACGGAGCATCCGATTTGAATGATTCAAAAAACATTTTGCCTGTGTTGACAGTATGAAGGCAGGATTCTTTTTGGGAAAGCAAATAAAAATATCTTAAAATTAAAGAAAAACAAATTAAAAAAATTTTTTTTTGAAATATCGAAAATGATTTGGATTTTAATTTTAATTTTAGCTAAAATTCTAAGGTTCACTTATATACTTGAAATAGATAATTTTAACCTTGCAATTCAATTTTTTTCATGCTGCATATTATCTTACATAAATATTAATTTTGACAGACTATTTTAATTCATATCAAATAATTAAATTATTTAATGTTTAAACCAAGTTGATCCTGCGGTTTACAACTGTGAGGTTGCGGCTAGTAAATCATACAAAGCAATTCTATAGAGATTTCAGAACAAAATTTTAAAATAGCTCGTGAATGCCCCAAAATATGTACCAAACTGGCTAATACATCGAAACCTTAGTATTTTAACCGTTGAAGAAAAAATTAACCACTTCCAAAAGTCAACTTCCAAATCAACTGGCGCGTGACCTGCTCAACTTAAAAAAGAAGCTGTAATGAATTATTACATGAATTTACCTAAAATTGGATGCTATAATAGCAGAAGGTGCTATCAAAAGATAGTTATATCCTTCACACGCCATTATATTGAATTGTCTACAATTATATCTGAATGTAATTTATTGTATTTTTTGCTATAA